AGTACAGTAGACATGATCCTTGGAGCCAGTCAGATGTGATCTAAATTCCAGCTCGGTGCCTCAATTTCCTTAGCTCTCATGTAGAGCACAAGGCTCTGCTTGAGATGAGGCTCTCTAACCTAACTGTTGCTAGGCCTCTCTTCTTTTTCTCTCTCTAAATACAGCCATTGCCAATTTGCAGGGTAACCAGGGTGTGGGTGTCTTCTCTGTCACCTCCAGATTCATGGGCTTTCCCTGACACCAAAAGTTCTCACCTGGCTCAGCCCCCTCAGCAGATCACACCCCTTTTTCTTTTTTTTTTCTTTTTTTTTTTTTTTTTGAGTTGGAGTCTCACTCTGTCGCCCAGACTGGAGTGCAGTGGCCGCTCCCGGCCACCGCAGCCTCGACCTGCTGGGCTCCGGCGATCCTTCCGCCTCAGCCTTCCGAGTAGCCGGAATTACAGGTATGCGCTACCACGCCCGGCTGAATTTTTGATTTATTGTAGAGATGAGGTCTCGCTGCCCAGGTGGGTCTCGAACCTGCGGGCTCAGGCAGTCCACTCACCTCAGTCTCCCAAAGGTGCGGGATGACAGGCTGAGCCACCGAGCCCGGCTCCCTTTTTCCTGATAGAACTCAGAGCCGGCCTCCTCTCCTGCGGCTCATTGCCAGACTCCATACCTGACTGTAGCATCAGAAGTTCTTTATTAAAGTTAGGGTCGGACAGCCTGAGGAAGATAGCATCACATAGGAAGAGACAGCAGAAATGTGTGCGTCTCTGAAAAGCCAGACAGGAAAGGCATTTCAGCACCTGGATGCTTCCTTCCCTCTCAACTGAATTGTTTCCCCTCAAATTCTTCCCGACGCCTACACCCGTGCCCTCTTTCAATTCACTTAAACTCACAAACCACACCCCCCTCGCCCCACTTTACGAAAACTGCACATCCTCCAAAGAAGTAGTCGCGTTTATTCTTTTTTTTCCTCCTGAATCTCCCATCACATCAAAGATGCTCTGATGTCTCCTTGCCTGGTGTCGCGGGGTCTGAGAATAGGGTGCGACCCAGAAGGAAAACGAATGAAGGAAAACGAATGGTTACATCCTCACCCCTTCACCCTCCAGCGAGAACCGTGTCTGCTCCTTCTGTCTCCAGGGACTTGTTCTCTAAGCAGTCTCAATAAGACTGATTCTTTCCCTTGTTGATAGCCAGCTTCCCCTCATCTAGCAGAAAGCATGCTGTTTCTATGAACAGGACTCTGCGAAGGTCCCTGGGAGTGAGGACCCCTACCATGGGCTCGTCCCTGTCCTGGGCCTGCCAGCGACACAGGAAGACACCCTACTTCACGCCCCTCTGCCTGTTGTCCAGGGAACAGCAGGAGGCCACCACATTCTTTAATTCCGTCCCTCTGATGGAAGCATCTTGGGGTTTCCAGCTCCTACTGCTATAGCCTTTATGGCCACTGGAAGCAGAAACCCCACACAGACTACTTCAGATGAAAGTGAGTATTAGTTGTAGGGCTATAGAGGAACCACTAAGCCCAAAGACAAAAAAAATGAAGTACACGTGAGCCTCATGTGAGCACGGATTGGAAAGTCAAGGGCTCATATCATTTTCTCTCTCATTCAATGCCTATTCTGTCTCATGATGGATTCTCTCTGGGCCTGCTCCGTTCTGCCTCGGAATTTGATCATTTCCCTGTGCTTATTCAACTTACACGGTTCCCCCAAAATGCTACCCCAGCTGTAGCAGCTAACTTAGGACATTGATCTTTGCGAAGAGAGGTTGATTAATAGGTACAAATACACAGTTAGATGGAAGAAATTAGACCTAGTGTTTGATAGCTCAGTAGGGTGACTATAATTGAACGACCTATTGTACATCTCAAAATAGCTAGTGTGCAGTGGTACAATCATGGTCCACCACAGCCTCGAACTTCTGGGCTCAGGCACTCCTTCTGTCTCAGCTTCCCGAGTAGCTAGGACTACAGGCGTGCGTCACCACGCCCAGCTGTTTTGTTTATTTTTTCATAGAGACAAGGTCTCCCTATGTTACCCAGGCTGGTCTCACACTCCTGGGATGATGCAATCCTTTTGCCTTAGCCTCCCAAAGTGCTGGGGTTATATGCATGAGCCACCATGCCTGACCTGACTTATAGTTCTTTCTGGATCATTTTTTTAGATGCTGTATCACCCAGTGCTCCTGATTGCATGAAGGACAATGTTTTGTGGCAAAGCACAGGTGCTGAAAATGCTAAGTTAAAAGAGTAATTCAGAAAAGTCAGACTCCATGTACAAAGACATTTCAACACCATTTTAACCAGTATCTTTTGTCTTTCTTTATGCATGCATACAGCATCTAATAATCTTTGTCTAATTAGGGTTTTTTAAAAGTATCTCAGTAACTATGAAAGAATGTTAGTAATAAAGAATTGCCTGAGAGTTCAGTTGGCAACTTAAACTATTTGTGTTATAAAAACTAATGGGGCATCGTCCAACTGATAGCGTCTTAGATCGAATTAAATGTGGTAGCATCAGCAGAAGTGACAGAATTCTGAACCGCAAATTCAATCAAATCCTAGTGAATATATCATCCAGCTCTCTCCCTCAGAACTCATGCACACAACAAAACGCTGCAAACAGTCTCAGCATTCTCTACCAAGCACACAGCAGCAAGAACCGATGGCCGTGCAGAGATTCCAGGGTACATTTGACTTTCATAGTCAAAGAGAGGGATATTTTCTCATCTTTGCCGCTGAATTTCCTGGTGTTGGAAGTATCTAGACGCTGTTGTGATGGTGGCTCACATTTTGCAATGTGCACTCCCAGCGCCAGTATGGCCTGGGGTCTGGGTTCACTGATTTTTTTGTCTGGTTTCTTGCCCCCAGCAGTCAAGCATCCTTGGACAATGAAATGTGTACAGTCACATATCTCCCCAGCCTTGCCCTTAGACCAGCCCTTCCCATTGCTTTGAAAACATGTTGGGTCACTTAAACAAGTATTCCTTTTCCTATCCAGCTCATTAATAATGACATTTAATGAATCAGCCCCATCTAAAAATATTTTTCAGAGGGAAGAAACCATCTGGATTCCAAGAAAGTCAGTTCACAGCACACATGAAATAATTGTTTTCTAATTCCCAACTGTGTAGACGTGACTTCTTTTCACCAGGCACTGAAGTTCCTCTTCTATGTGGTGTGTGCCACGAACTGAAAAAAGGTGCTGGATTCAAAATGTGTCCAAAATCTCATCGTTTCAATGTGTGCCCATGAGAAGTTTTGGTTAAGCATCAAGTCTTTTGTTTTTTCTCTTTTGTTTCTTTGTATTAATTCCATCAATAATAAAAATGTTAGCATTTTCTTAGTATTATGTAGCTATGAATTCATAACAATAAGAATAAAAATATAAGTGCCAGGATTTTGCTTTGTGTGTTAACCATAGAAATTAATTTATAGATAGTATCATTACAGTTCTTGATCTGACTAGAGTCCTAGATAACTCTTCACTCCTATTTGCGTCTTTACGTAGACCTTATGTTAGCCTTGGACTTGAACTGTTAAGGAGTGCCCAGCAGGCAACTACAAATGTTGATAAATATGGAAATAATATGACAGCCACTACCTACTGTGGCCAGTTTCTCAGAGAGTCTGTTTGTTGAGAACATTGGAGGGTTTGGGAACCACAGGAGTACTGATTCCAGGTTTGGATGTTTAGAAATACTGTAGTCTAGAAGCTTATTTGTATTTGTTCTGAGACCCAGCCTGGCTAAGTAAGAATGTTGGCTTGAAGAAAGACAAGAGAGGCCAGGTATAGTGGCTCACACCTGTAATCTCAGGACTTTGGGAGGCCAGGGTGGGAGGATTGCTTTAGCACAAGAGTTTGAGACCAACCTGGTCTCCAGACTCCATTTCTACTAAAGAAATGAAAAATTGGCCTGGCATGGTGGCATGTGCCTGTAGTCCCAGCTACTTGGGAGGCTGAGGCAGAAGAATCACGAGAGCCCTGCAGATCAAAGCTGCAGTGGCCATGATGGTGCCACTGCACCCCAGCCTGGGTGACTGAGTAAGACCCTGGTTCACAAAAAAAAAAGGACAGAGTGAACAAGAATGGGTACCATATGATGTAACCTAGCAACCAACTACTCATAGCTGGGCTGCATATGATTAACTACACCATTCATTTATGGTTCTTGCATGTGAATTACAGGACTTCACTGTTCATTGTCTATCTTTTTAGGCTGGAGTATAGTGTCATGATCACGGCTCACTGCAGCCTTGACTTCCTGGCTTCAGTCAATCCTTCTGCCTCAGCCTCTCAAGTAGCTGGGACCACAGACATGTGTCACCATAAAATCTAGCTTTATGAGTGCACTGTGCTAAGCATTTTACAGAATTCTTTCTTCTCACCATTATAATAATAACACCATGAAGCCAATTTCAAATTGCCGTGTACCAGATGAGAAAATGGAGGCACAGAAAAGAGATAAGGTTGCATGGATAATATAGGGATGAACTGGATTCTAACTCAGGTCTGACTCTCAAACCCAAGCTCTTAGTCACCATGCTGTATTTCCCTTGCCTCGGAGAATTGCTAATTACCATAATACATTGCTTGCAAATTAATCCTGAAAATAAGGATATAGGGAAAGATGAAAAGTTGATCAGCTCTGTGACCACTGCTAATCACAAAGGTAATGCTGATTGCATATGTTGTTGGCAGGTAAGATTTTTGATAAATGCTCTCAGTTCAGTTGGATTCGTGGCAGACCCTGGTACCCAAAGTCAGGTAACTGTTCTCATTGTGTGATAAAGGGGTGAACATAAGCACTGCATGAGGATAGACTGCAAAGGGAGCGATCAGCCTAGCCACAGCAAGGTTCTTGTTGACACATGTTGAAAATAGATTGGAAAAGGAGGACAGAGTCAGGGTATGGAGATCCTCACAAGACAGAAGATTATAGACCTGACAAGGCCAAAGAGGCCACTGACGAATTGGACTGTGGGCATGGCCAGTGGAAGGCAGTGTTGCCATGGCCGTGGCAGAGTTGGAAAAGCAGGGAACCCAAGCTGAGCCTACCAGCTTACAGCTTATTTGCCATTATCCAGGCATAGATGGATGTGGTCTTGATGCAAGAAGCAGCAGGTGTGGAAATGGAGAGAAAGAGGTGAGACGTACATTAAAACTGACAGCTTGGCATGGCAGCTCATGCCTGTAATCCCAGTACTTTGGTAGATCAAGGTGGGAGGATTGCTTGAGCCAAGGAGTTCAAGACCAGGTTAGGCAGTGAGACCTCACCTTTACAAAAAAATCAGAAAATCAACCGGGTATGGTGACACACATCTGTAGTCCCAGCTACTTGGGAGACTGAGACTAAAAGATTGACTGAACCCAGAAAGTCAAGGCTGCAGTGAACCATGATCATGACACCATACTCCAGCCTGGGTGACAGAGTATGACCCCAACTCAAAATAAAACTGACAAGCCTTGGTATTTGGTTAAAGTGAATGAAGTAAAGGGTTTAAGCTTAATGGCTTAGAGAAATGAAATAAACCATTTCAAAGGGGAAGTTGGTTTTGGAAAGAAGATATGGCTTATTTTCAGATGTTTTGACTTTGAGCTGTTTATGAGGTATCTTGGTAAAGATTTCCTGGGGTCACTGGAAGATGGACTTGGGCTGGAGTGAGGAGTTGGGCTGATGATACAGTTGTGAGAATCAGCACTTACAGTAAATGCTACAGTGAAGGCCAAGTGTGGAGACAGAAGGGAAGAGTAGAGAGGCTGGAAAGAGAGGCTTGAGTTTAAAAAACCTCAGCTACAGAGGATTGGAAGAGAAGAGGCCTTGATACAGGACAGAGAGACTGATTAGGTTTTCAATATCTTCTATTTCTGGGGAGAGTCATAGGTACTTTATGGAAAGCAAAGATTTAGGGTGATACTTTGCAGCATTATCATCCCAGAGGTGAGAGTTGTAGATTTAGTCTTTCATTTGTCCCTCCAGACATATGCACTTTCCACTCTTTTCCCTCCCGCTCTCTGCCCTGGGAGGCTGGTCCATGTGCACCCCTGTCAGCAGGGTTCCCCTGATGGCATCTGTTGGAAATAGCCAATGGGGAACCCCCAGAGGGAGATTAGAAGGAGGGAGGAAAGAGATGGAAGTTAGATCATATACCCCTCTGGCTCCTTTCCAGCGAAGTTGTTGAAGATTGGCTCTATCTTTTCATTGAAGATTACTGTTCTACTCAAAGTGAAGCGCTCAGTAAAATGTTTCCTTCTGTTAGGCTCAGTTTTCTCTTCTTTCTTCATACCTGTAGGAAGTGGGGTAATGTCTTAGTTTCCTTGAGCTGCTATAACAAATGACCACATACTGGATGACTTAAAAATGTATTATCTCACAGTTCAGAAGACCAGGCCCGAAATCCAGGTGGCATCCAGGTTAGTTCCTTCTGGAGGCCATGTCTGTCCCCTAGCCTCTGGTGGTTGTGACAAGCCTTGGTGTTTCTTTGCTTGTAGATGCATCATTCTAATCTCTGCTTCCATCTTGTTTTTTTAAAGACAGGGTTTCACCCTGTTTTTTTCAGCCCAGGTCACTCAGGCAGTGCCTCTGGGCTCAAGTGATCCTCCTGCCTCAGCCTCCCTAGTGGCAGGGACTACAGGCACACACTAATATACATGGTTATTTTTTCTATTTTTTTTTTAATAGAGATGGAGTCTCACTTTGTTGCCCAGGTTGTTCTTTTTTTTTTTGAATTGGAGTCTCACTCTGTCGCCCAGACTGGAGTGCAGTGGCCGCTCCCAGCCACCGCAGCCTCGCCTGCTGGGCTCTGGCGATCCTTCCGCCTCAGCCTTCTGAGTAGCCTGATTACAGGCACGCGCTGTCACGCCCGGCTGATTTTTTTTGATTTATTGTAGAGATGAGGTCTCGCTGGCCAGGAGGGTCTCAAACCCGCGGGCTCAGGCCATCCACTCACCTCAGCCTCCCAAAGGTGCGGGATGACAGGCTGAGCCACCGAGCCTGGCGCTGGGTTGTTCTTGAACTCCTCCTAGCCCCAAGCGATCCTCCCACCTCAGTCTCCCAAAGTTGTGGGATTACAAACATGAGCCACTGCTCCTGGCCTCTGCCTTCACCTTTACATGTCTGCCGTCTCGCTGTATCTCTGTCCTTTTTTGTCTCTTATAAAGACATTGCCATTGAATATGGGGTCTACCCTAATCCAATATGATCTCATCTCAAGCCTTACCTTGTTGATTTTCAGTAAAGACGCTATTCCCAAATGAGCTTATGTTCTGAGGTTCCTGGGTAGATATGAATTTGGGGGCCTGGGGGGGAGCACTGTTCGACTCACACAGCCCCACTGTGATCAGCCCTGTGTTCCCACTCTTGTCTCCACGGTTTCCCACACCCTGCCCACATATTTGTATTTTAGTCCTTTTGTAAACCACCCCTCTCTGCATTATTCTAATTTTAGTGTGCCTTCTACTTCCAGTTGGGATTCTGAGTGGTGTACATCCCTTTAGTAAATTCTTACTTTTTGTACAAACCTGTATAAGAACTAACTTATCAACTCCATTTTTTTGGCTCAGCCACCAGGTAAAATCTGCCTTAAATGTAGTGTTTTAACTGTAGAAACTCTTAAGCCTAAATTTATGGTGTATTTATCTTCTTTACTAAATGACTTTTTTTGTTTTGTTCTCATTTTAACATGTCTTTATAAGTTATTTTGAAGATATAAAATTGTGTAACTTAGTACGAAAAGTGCCAATTCTCCAAGTCTCCTTTTCTCTTGCCAAATTCCTTACAGCTTAAAGCTCATCCTCAGAGAAATCAAATTTTAGCATCTATTTTTCACATTTGGGGGGATGTGCAGTGGCTGAGCAGAGGCATTCTGTCTTGAGTTCACACTGGTTGATCACAGATGAATGGAGTGGTGAAGTAGTGTTTCTATGTGTGTAATTCTGTGTTTTTATGCCACTGTGATCACCCAACTTTATTGTGATGACTGTTTTGCAGCAAGGTTAATACAACCTGTGGCATCAGGCTCAGTGACGGTAACTCTTACCCCGTTGGACTGTCTCTTGGCTTCTTATTTAGTTTGAGAAAGCCGTTATATGGTCCTTTGGCAAATCAAAAAGGAACTTAGATCCAACTTGTTGTTTTTGACTCTTAATGACTTGAGTGTAGCCCAAAGTTCTATACTTTTTCACTTCTTATACCACCCAACTAGGGAGCCTTCAAATATTATCAAGATATCTGGTATTTTTCATAGAACTTTAGAGCTGGAAGGAAACTTAGAAGCCATCAAACTTAATAAGCCCAACTCCCTTATTGTGCAATGAGAAAACAGGGGTGCAGAGAGGTGAGTCCACTACCCAGTGCCCCATAATGCATTTGTGTTACAGCAGGGAGAATGGCACAGGCGTTTCACCTCCCATGGCAGCATCCTTTTCACAGTGGTTTGCTACATGCAGCCTTACCAGGGTCCGAGTAGCACAACAAGCAAGTGCTGTAGAAGTTCGGGGAAGAAGAGGTCACTCTTGTCTTGGAGAGAGCCAGGGAAGGTGTAAAAGAGGAAGAGGAGATCAAGATAAATCTTGACACCTGGGCAAAGCTTAGGGAATTTTCATTTCACATGGAAAAGTCAAGAGGACATCCCAAACTCGAGAGCATTTGCCACAGAGTTTGCCTATAAAATTCAACTGCCTACTACTTCTGAGGCACACTCAATTTAATTTGCTGGTCAAGTTAATTCAGGCACTACCTCTTTACTTAAGTGAGGACAGAAGTGGTCAACCAGAATCCATATTTCATCACATTTAATCAAGAAAACAGTAGACATTCTAGGATCAGATGCTACTACTAACAATAACAAACCTTTATTGAGGAAAATACTTTTGGGTGGAGTTGATCTGGACTTCAATGTCAAGAAAACGTGTGTCTGGAATGTCATTTTTAAAATCTATTTCTTGGGGTTATTATAGAGATACCTATGGTCCATAAAACTATAGCATGAGAATTGTGAAGATTACACTGAGGGCTCATGCATCTCTATTTAGTTGTCAAAAACTACATGATCCTTGATCATTTTTTTTTTCCAACTCTGAGATTCTGCTCCTTCAGTCGGTGAGCTGGCGATGTGACAGATGTTAGCAACTGACCTTCTGCCAGGTCCTGGGAAAAGTACAAAGATGAATAAGACAAGCCTCTTGCCTTCTAGGAGCTCACAGTCTGGATGGAAAGTCAAACATATAAACAAGCAAGTGCTAAAAGAGGACACAGAAATGTCTTACCGAGGGGATCTTCTGGGTTGGGCCCATTGGTGGAGAGTAAGGAGTAAAGATGAGAGCCCTTCCAGAGACATGTAGACATTTGGTATGAATGGATCACAGTGGGACGTGATAGAAAGGACCCAAGGAAGCCGAGTGGGGCCACTTGTGGATTGCAAAGGATCTGGCCTTGTAGACAGTGGGAGCCAAGACATTATATTGCATAGGATGATAAGAAAGATATATTTTAAATATTTGCACTTTATGGAATAGAAAACACGATTGGAGGCAGGAAAATGAGTTAAGCTAAAAAAAAAATGATGAGGGTGAGAGATTTAAAGGTCTGGACTAAGGTAAATGGTAGCAGGGATGAAGAAGAGAGGTAGATTCCAGAAACATTTTCGAGTGTCAGTCCTGGGACTAAAGAGATTGCAAAATGGCATCATTAGGAGCCCAGGCTTGGAGTCGGGCGGATCTGGGCTCCAATTTCACTCCTGTCACTTACTAGCTGTGTGACCTGGCCAAGTTGCTTAACCTCACTAATCCTCGGTTCTCTGATCTGAAAAGTAAGAATGATGCCTCTCCGTGGTACTCCAGTTCAGAGCACTCAGCAGGATGACTGGGTATATAGCATGCACCCCATAAATAATAGCTGCTGTTGCTGCTGCCGGTATTACACTCAGGTATCCCGACTTCCAGCTGGTTTATTACCAAAGTATTCTTTTACTGCAGATGACACTTGATAGCGTGTCAGTGGGACTTGATCTCTGTAGGGACAGTTCTCATGGCTCGCTCCATGGCCGCCAGCTGGACCCATGTCACAGCAGACTGTGTCACATTCACATCACAGGACGGTCCTTCGAGGGAACAGGGACAATCCCATCCCCACAAAGAAGAAAAGCA